TTAAAAGATAAATGAGAGAGTTTACAAGCAGCCTGTTGTGAAATGATATAGGCAGTCACCCTACTGACTTTGGACCATTTTTTAAAGACAGTTGGACAACCTTAGCATATGGAAACCATTAACATTATGACCAATGCATCTCTGACAGGTATCTATACTTTGGTCTCGTGTGGCTTATAACTTAATTTTTATGCATGTTTACTCAGAAGTAAGTCACACTGTACCTAAAGAACTTTGCTCCCCAGTAAGTGAGTTTAAGATTATGGCTTGAAGAAACATTTATCTGATATCTGATGAAGTGTGCATGCACACGAAAGCTCATTCCCAGAATTAAACTTTGTTGGTCTTAAAGGTGCCCCTGGACTCAAACTTTGTTCTATTGCTATTCAGTAGGACTTACCCCCCTGCAAGTAAACATATGGGTGCAGCCTTGGTTGATTTTAAGAATTCTGATCAAGTAATTGATCAGACCTGTATTTGAATAAAGCAATAGTTTTGCAGGAAAAAACATTCTTTCTTATTTTTAGGTGATGCGCCATTTGGTGCTATTTTAGAAGAAGCATGTCTCACGCATGATAGAGAAGAAATTCCTCTTTGAAGCTGCCATCTGCTTTAACAAATTCATTGTTCTCATACTTTTAAAAATCAGATCTGCTGTCCACTTCATAGAGAACACATCAGTTGATTAAAAAAAAAAAGGATTTGATTTTTTTCTAATCTGTGAATGGATTTAGGATGGCAGCAGTAATAGGGAGAGGCCTGATCCTGATTCTGAAATGTGGCTCTTCTTGGCATTGCATTAATAGGCTGCCCTTTGTTTTGCATGTGTTTCCAGCAAAGAGTATCCAGTGGTTCCCAGGAGCACGGTCAGGCAGAAAGTGGCCTCCAACCACAGCCCTTTCAGTGGTGAGACCCGAGCTCTGTCTGCCTCTTCGAACATCAGCTCTCAGTTCCAGTGTGAGAACGGTGTCTCCAGCACCTCCCAGGACCTGCTACCACCTGCCAACCCATACCCCGTATCCCAGGACCATAGCCAGATTTACCACTGCACCAAGAGAAAAGGTCAGGTGTTTGTTTTTTTTTTCTTTAGCTCACTTCTCTTCTAGGGTTCTTTTGGTAACATAGAGCCAGGGCTATTTTTGGGCAGGAACGCATAGGAACGGAGTTCCGGCTGGCTTCAGATTTGGCCACACCCACTACAGCCAAAACCTCGGCATGCCTGGCTGCAAAGGGAAGACCTGGCCCCGCGGTGACTCTGGGGCGGGTGTACCGGGGGGGGGGCCTGGAAGGATCTGTCCAAGGGCTGGCTTGTCCAGGCTCCCCACAGGACAGATCCTTCCAAGGGAAGGCATGGGATGTGGCCTAATATGCTAATGAGCTGTGTTGTCAGGGTGTGGCCTAATATGATAACGAGTTGTTGCTGTTGGGTGTGGCCTGTTATGCTAATGAGTTCCTGCTGGGCTATTTCTCCAAAAAGCCCTGCATAGAGCATTTCTTTACCTTTCAAGGTCTCCACCATGGTTGACGTCTTTAGATAGGCAAGCATCAGCTATTTTCCTAGGACTAGGGATGCCAGATTTTTACAAGCTTTTGTCTCTGTGCTTTTAGCAGCAAGTTGATAGGAAACTATTAGTAAGGGTTGCCAGTTCTGGATTGGAAAATACCTGGAGATTTTGGGAGTGGAGCCCAAGGAGTGTGGGGTTTGGGGAGGGGCGGGACCTCAGCAGGGTCCAGTGCCATAGAATCCATCTTCCAAAGCATCCATTTCCTCCACCAGAACTGACCTCTTTGCCTGGAGATCGTTTGTCATTCCGGGAGACCTCCAGAACCCATACGGAGGTTGGCAACCATAACCATCCGAGCTCAGTAGTTCCCTGAAAACTTTTCTTCTCCCCACCTGCCTGTTTTGTTTTGCACTGAACACCCAGTCTGATGGTGGAACAACAAAATGACAAACTTTGAGAAGCCTTATTGACCTGTCAAGTAAGGTTGCCAGTCTCCAGGCAGGCCCTGAAGATCTCTCAGTATTACAACTAATCTCCAGACCAAATATATCAGTTCCCCTGGAGGAAATGGCTGCTTTGGAGAGTAGATTCTATGGCATTATACCCCATTGAAGTCCCTCCCCGCCCTAAAGCCTTTTCTTCCCGATAGAGTTGCCAGCCTCCAGGTGGGGCCTGGAGATCTCCTGCTTTTACAACTGATCTCCTGCTGACAGAGATCAGCTCCCCTGGAGAAAATGGCTGCTTGGAAGGGTGGACTCTGTGGCACTGTACCATGCCAAGGCCCCTCCCCTCCCCAAACCCCACCCACTCCCAGATCCATCCCCAAAGTCTTCAGGTATTTTCCAACCCAGACCTGGCAACCCTACTTCCCAGACTCCAGTCCAGACCCAAATCTCTAGGAATTTCTCAACCTGAACTTGGCCTCCCTAGGCCTATGTGGCCTGCTGTAGTGAATTTAGAGAGGTTTGGGGGATTGAGGTTTGGGGGATCCTGTGGCTCTCTGCCTGGTTGCAATGGTGGCCTAAAAAAGGAAGCAATGGGAGTGGCAGATTCAGTCAGTAAAATATCCTGATCTTCCCTGATCCTGATAATTTTGTGATACTTCAGTCCTAATAGCCTCATCCACAAGTTTTTGGATAAGAACATAAGAACATAAGAGACGCCAATGTTGGATCAGGCCAAAGGCCCATCCAGTCCAACACTCTGTGTCCCACAGTGGCCAGAAATACCAGTGCCATCAGGAGGTCCACCAGCTGTCTGTGGCGGTGGAAAGTGCCATCATCATAGCTGATGTACAGTGACTCCATAGGGGTTTCAAGGCAAGAGACATTCAGAGGTGGTTTGCCATTGCCCACCTATGTAACAATGCTAGACTTCCTTGTTGGGCCCCCATCCAAGTAATACTCAGGGCTGACCCTGGTTATTTGAAGCTGACGAGATTGAGCTAGTCTGGACCATTCAGGTCAGGGAGTGCTACTAGTACATTATGACAATGGGACTGGATTGCCTGTACAGGAAAATCCAGTTGAAATTTACTGCCATAGCACACTTAGAGAGCAGTATCCAATGATGTGAGGATATGGGCTGCTGTTTTTAGCCATCACTAGGACACTTGCTCATTTCTTCACGTCCACTCCTGCTACAGGCATGGGTGCAGTTCTGGTTCTCTTGTTGACTAAGAACCGTATTTATTCTAAAGATGCTCATGACCTTAAATGCCCTGTTTCATTGGTCCTTGGTGGCTTTGAATCAACAGAATTGCATGCTGAATCCTGCCCCATCACCACAGAGAACACTCTACTTCCAAAAAGCTGCCAGAGTGACAGGCTGGCATACACCCAATCAGAGCTGAAGGCAGTCAACAAGACAGATCACAGCTTATGTGTGTGTATGTGTGTCCTCTCAACCCGCCTTTACCCTAGGCATTATACCCTATTGAAGTCCCTCCCTGCCCTAAAGCCTTTCCTTCCCGGTAGAGTTGCCAGCCTCCAGGTGGGGCCTGAATATATCAGTTCCCCTGGAGGAAATGGCTGCTTTGGAGAGTAGATTCTATGGCATTATACCCTATTGAAGTCCCTCCCTGCCCTAAAGCCTTTCCTTCCCGGTAGAGTTGCCAGCCTCCAGGTGGGGCCTGGAGATCTCCTGCTTTTACAACTGATCTCCTGCTGACAGAGATCAGCTCCCCTGGAGAAAATGGCTGCTTGGAAGGGTGGACACTGTGGCACTGTACCATGCCAAGGCCCCTCCCCTCCCCAAACCCCACCCACTCCCAGATCCATCCCCAAAGTCTTCAGGTATTTTCCAACCCAGACCTGGCAACCCTACTCCCCAGACTCCAGTCCAGATCCAAATCTCTAGGAATTTCTCAACCTGAACTTGGCCTCCCTAGGCCTATGTGGCCTGCTGTAGTGAATTTAGAGAGGTTTGGGGGATTGAGGTTTGGGGGATCCTGTGGCTCTCTGCCTGGTTGCAATGGTGGCCTAAAAAAGGAAGCAATGGGAGTGGCAGATTCAGTCAGTAAGATATCCTGATCTTCCACTGATAATTTTGTGATACTTCAGTCCTAATAGCCTCATCCACAAGTTGGATATTGCGCTGTCTGTGGCCATGGAAAGTGCCATCATCATAGCTGATGTATGGTGACTCCGTAGGGGTTTCAAGGCAAGAGAAATTCAGAGGTGGTTTGCCATTGCCCACCTCTGTGTAACAATGCTAGACTTCCTTGTTGGCCCCCCATCCAAGTAATAACCAGGGCTGACACTGGTTATTTGAAGCTGATGTGATTGAGCTAGTCTGGACCATTCAGGTCAGGGAGTGCTACTAGTACATTATGACAATGGGACTGGATTGCCTGTACAGGAAAATCCAGTTGAAATTTACTGCCATAGCACACTTAGAGAGCAGTATCCAATGATGTGAGGATATGGGCTGCTGTTTTTAGCCATCACTAGGACACTTGCTCATTTCTTCACGTCCACTCCTGCTACAGGCATGGGTGCAGTTCTGGTTCTCTTGTTGACTAAGAACCGTATTTATTCTAAAGATGCTCATGACCTTAAATGCCCTGTTTCATTGGTCCTTGGTGGCTTTGAATCAACAGAATTGCATGCTGAATCCTGCTCCATCACCATAGAGAACATTCTACTTCCAAAAAGCTGCCACAGGCTGGCACACACCCAATTAGAGCTGAAGGCAGTACACAAGACAGATCACAGCTTATGTGTGTGTGTGTCCTCTCAACCCGCCTTTCCCCTGTGGCACTGTGTATTCCATAAGGGCACTTTCTGCACTGTGTATTCCATAAGGGGGGATTAAGGTCTTAAATACTGCCTCTTAACAGCCTTGATTGGGTGACTGGTATAGCAGAAAAGAATCCTATGTACTCTCAGAAGTTTTCAATCAATTGTGGCATAGATTTTTGAGGATGCATATTGTCAGAGGTACTTAAGACAATGACAGTTTGTTTCTTGGCCCTGTAAAGTGTCATAGGATTTTAATTTTTTTTAGAACATATCTAAAAAGAGAGAGAAGACTGATATTCCCAACAGGAGCCCAACCCTATTGCCTCTGTGCCTTGCAATACTTTCCTGTTTCCCAAGATGAAGCCTGTTCCATTTGCAGTCCTCTCTGTATTCCCCTTATGTCTGTTCCTCAGTTTACTTCTAGCAGGTTAGACTCCATTTATACATTAACAAGTGCGTATCATATAACCAGGGGTCGTTTCGTAGAAAAAGAGCTAGGGGAAGTCATTAGCATAACTCATTAGCATATGCCACACCCCCTGACATCACCGGAAGTGTGTCATCAGGCCACACCCCCTGACATCACCGGAAGTGTGTCATAAGGCCACACACCCCGCCCCCAACGGTCCCGGCTGCCACCGCCGGCCTTGCAGCTCCACTG